ATATGTAGGTTATTTTTTTGAAAACCGGAATTTAAGAAAAACTAAAGTACCAAAAAAGTTTCTAAATTATCTGTAAATATACAGGGTGGGCCACCTGTTTAGGTGGGTATGTGTAGGTTGATTACGGCTACATTTGAAAAATATTTTGAAATATACAGGGTGTCCAGAAAAAGCGTACCATATCAAAGTTATGTATTTTTAAATGGAACACCCTGTATATTATTACATTTTTGAAAGCACCGTAAATAAATAGGTGAACTTTATTAAAGGTTCTGCATACCTAGGACTTATTGTTTGTGAGATATTTCAATTTTAGTGAAAATGCAGGCTTAGCGTAGAAATTTAATATTAGCAATAAAAATAATTTTAAGGATGCATCTTCGGAAAGAGTATTTTAGATCCTTGAAGTTATAAATTATTATATTTGTCGTCACTTAGGGTGTTCAAAAAAACTGCTGGATACTTTTCTCAACTTTAAACAGTAGTAACTTGGTTAATTTAAATGGGACACGCAGTATATTTCTTTGGGAGTTTTGGGAAATTTAAAACTCTTTCAAATTGTGTATAGGTTCCCTATACCTGTCTCTAACGGTATTGGGGATATTTGTGCCGTTTCGTTTATCATTGAATTTTTTTGTAAGATGTCTTTATCGAAGTCCTTATTGAATTGGTAAAGCGTCAATCATGACAATATTCAAGAAAGTTTTCTAATAAAATATTATAATAAAAAAATAATAACTGAATTAAATTAATTAGGAACAACATTAAAAATATTTATTAACGGAAATTTTTCTTTTAAAAGAAACAAAGAAACATTTTAATTGATGATCAAATTGATAACCATTCTCTTGAATGAATCTTATTCTATCTTCAGATGATATTCTCACATTCCTTAGAATATCTGGGGTGATTGTGCAAGTGCATCTCTAATCCTTTCCTTCATATCGTCGCAAGTAGTAGGTGGAACACTGTGTACAAGATTTTTTATATAGCCCGAAACAAAGAAGTCCATTATGATCAGGTCTGGATACCTAGGTGGCCACTGAAATGCACCATTCTTACTTATACATTTATTACTAAATTTTCGATTTAAATAATTTCTCACTGAATATATTATATAAAATTTGAAGGTGCGTCATTTAATTGCATCCTCATTTTTTTCCTTATATTTAAAAAGATGTCATCAAGAAGAACCCAAACCAATCCAATAAAGACCTCGATGAAGACATGTGGATACGTCTTACAAAAAAAATCATTAAAAAACGAAACAGCATAAATATATCTCCAATACCGTTAGAGATAGGTATAAGGAACGTATACACAGTTTGAAAGAGTTTTAAATTTCCTAACTCCCAAAGTAAAAATATACTGGGGGTCCCATTAAAATAACCAAGTTATTGATGTTTAAAGTTGAGAGAAGTATTCAACTGTTTTTTGAACACCCTGTACAATACTAAGTGACGACAAATATAATAATTTATAACTTCATGTATATAAAATACATCATTTTTTTATTGCTAATATTAAATTTATACACAAAGCCTGCATTTTCACTAAAATTGAAATATCTCGCAAATAATAAGACCTAGGTATGCGGAACCTTTAATAAAGTTCACCTATTACGGTGCTTTTAAAAATGAGTAAAATACAGAGTATTCCATTTAAAAATACATAACTTTGATATGGTACGCTTTTCCTGGACTCCCTGTATATTTCAAAATGTAGTCGTAATCAACTTTCACATACCCACCTAAACAGGTTTTGTCCCTAGCGACCGAGGCGTTATTGGTGGCCCACCCTGTGTATTATTTAGAAGAAAAAAATAGTTATAACGATAAACGATAGGTGTTGCTCATTTCAACCAATTTTGCGAAGGTGCTAATAAGAATATTATCAGAAAACATCATTTTATTGGTAAAAGGTATCCTTCAAACTTCAATTTATTTTATTCAACCATTTCTGAATAAATGCATTCAAATAGATTATTTGGGCCTTCATTTAATTGGTAATATTTATGTAAGGAAGGTACAAATCGAAAAACTTTACATGAAATAAGTTTCCCCCCTCCCCCCTTATGTGCCTAGGGAACATCCCCACCAAATATTGGCATATCATTTCGGAACACCTTGTATACTTGCCGTATCTGCTATAGAACTGTTAAGAATTAATAAAATACTTTAATGATGTACATTACAAGAAAAGATAATACACTGAAAGTCCTGAACGTATTTAATCACTACAAAACGACTCAAAATGGTAAAAGTGACTTATATTGCAGGTACTATGAAAACACCATAAGTATCGCCACTATGTAGAGGATTGCAAAATTTAAGTGATACTGATAATATTGCAGTAAACCACTGCTCTGTGGACTATATACCTCGACTAGCATTGAATTACAACAGTGATATCTATTAAATACAACTAGAATCGTTTATCAGATGAACAGAAGAGATATGTATCAGTTTCAATCTTGTTAATTATCATCAGATACGACAACCGATGAACGATGCAGCTGCTTTGTTCATTAAATTAAGTAATGGAATACGTATCATCACTCAAAATTTGCTTCCATCTGGGTCACTTTTTTCAATGTTACTATACCGAAAATTAATTCGATTTGTTCAAAAAGGGGTTGTCTTTATGACACAATTTTTACTTCAATAAAAATCTCAGCTGGAAAAAGCAGAACAATGAAAGATACGCTTAGTTAATGTTTCGAAAATGGTTTGACTATGATATTAACCCAATGGTTGCCATTATTGTTATTATTATTGCTATTATTATTTTGTCTTTTTCATTCAATAATTTCACAGAATAATAATGACTTAAGGAAAAGGAAGTATTGAAATAGTTCCCTTAAAATAAATGACAATTTCCCATATTTTTGTTAGAAATAGAAGGCAAACATTGCTCTTTCGACATAAATAAATATGCTATTTTCCCTAAAATTTCTACCTTTTGAAACCGATAGTTTTATATAATGGATTCATTGAAGTTCATTCCCTAAAATGGCATAGCAAGAAGATTTTACATATAGGAAACACTTTGTATACGTGATGTGAGATCTCTATTTTTCCTAGATAATATTCTCAATATTTTCAATATTGATTTGCAGACACAGCATCAGGCCGATGAGCACAGACGCCTTCGCGATGGCGAACAGCATCTCCATAGGTCACTACACGAAACCGGGGTGGCAGTCTACTACAGAACCGGGATTCATCACCTCGCTGAACCACAATTCGATGCAGCACGGCGACAAACCCTCTACACAGTGGCAGTATACTACAGAGCCGGGGTTCGTCACAAGGGTGAAAAAGCCGAGTAGTTTTAAGCCTAAGAACAAGCCCACCAAGAAACCTGTGTCGAATACGACAAAGTTTGCTACTAAATCCACCAGGCCTACAACTACGAAAAGGTAAGAAACTGGGAGAATTGTATAAAGAGTGGTTCATAAATAGTTTTACAATTTTTGCAGGGGATAGTAATGAAATAAAAAAAATATTCTTTCATGCCTATTTGAGTAAACTTCTGAAATTTGTTTTGACAATGTGGAAGTCAATGTTTACATAAATTCGCTCTTTTTATGTGAAACCTATAGAATATATTCAGTCAGGCTGGAGAAAGTCCTGAAGAAGTTTTTTTAAGACATAAGTAAGGCGTCTGATTGTGTATGTCAGGACGAATTATTAAGTAAAATAAATATATGCTGATTTGATGTCATGGCAGTTTTGAATATAAAATAATTGAGATGCGAGTTCCGCAAGGATCTATATTGAGACCTATATTATTTTTATTATAAACTAATGCAAAAAATTAAAGGGCCAAAAGAATTTGCGAAATTTTTCTGTGATTTTTTACACGATTTTGACATGATTTTAGGTGAAAAATGGTCGTATCGGGAATTAAAAAAAAAGCATTTTGAAGCTCTAAGATTCTAGTTTTTAGATATTTCGGTTGAAATTTTTTAGGAGCTACGGTTATCATACAATTCTAAGAAACAGCGCGACAAAAAAATTTATTAGCGAAAAATTAAAAATTAGCGAACCGTTTCTTCGTTTCAAACGGTCAAACTTTTGAAACAAATTAAAGGGTCACATTTTTTGAGCTTAAACATTTCATAATCACGATTAAATGTAAAAAAAATTATTTTGAGGTTTTCTCACATTTTTACCGCAAATAACGTTTAAATTTATGAAAAAAAAATTTTTTTTCAGAGAAGAAAAAAGGTAGTTTCGAAAAAAAACTGTTTTTAAGTGATTACAGACTGCACAAAAATTAATTAGAAATTTGCCAAAGAACGGTATGAATCGGGGTCGAAATCTGGTTTGGGTCATCAACTTTAATTTTAATTTAATTAAAAGTTGATGAACAGAAAGAAGCATAGGACGGAAAAATGTGGCTGTGTTGGAAACAATTGGATTCTTCAATATCTGGAAGATTTTCCAAAATAAAACTTCAAAAATTTCGAAAGTTTTTTCGAAAGTTTTTCGAAATTTTTTTTTCGTCAATTTAAACGTTATTTGCGAGAAAAATCTCAAAAAAAATATTTTTCCATTTTAATCATGATCATGAAGTGTTTAAGCTCAAAAGACTTGACCCTTTAATTTTTTTAAAAGTTTGACTGAAACAAAGAAACGGTTCACTAGATCGAGATGAAACTTCAGAGTTCTTCTGGGTATATCGAACTGTAATAGTCATTAGTCATTTCGTGAATATTTCTAATTTAGCCGTCAATTTTCTAAAAAACAATAAATTATTCTTTTTCTTGCAAAAAAATTGCAAAATTATTTTGTCGCGTTATTTCTTAGAATTGCCGTAGCTCTTAAAAAATTTCGACCGAAAGATCTAAAAACTAGAATCTTAGAGCTTCAAAATTCTTTTTTTTTAATTCCAGATACGACCATTTTTCATCTAAATATAGTCTGTCAAAAATCACGGAAAAATTTCGGAAATTGACCGATAACTAATAAAAAATTTCAGTAATTTAGATCTTATGGCACACTCTTTTCTTTATTTATTTGGGTATTTCGCACCTGTGGAAAAAATTAATCAAATAAGCTCTTACTCCAAAAGCATAGGGAAGAGTTACTTTTATAAAAATATATGAAAAAAAAATAATCAATAGATCAAATAAATCAAAATACAAGAAAAATAACATTGAATACAACCCTGAAGTATTGTTAGAAATAAAAGCATGTTTAATTATTAAGCCAAGCAACTGTAATCCCAATACAATTAACATTTTCAGTCATTTAATAAAAGTTTTGATAATAAAGAGCCTATAAATAATTGATAAAACAAAAGAAAAGTATATCGTAAGAAATTTCAGAAGCAAGATATCTTCAACAAACTTTTTCCCTTTCGATTTCTACCAAACGTTGGCTAATCAATCCTTTTTAATATCGTAACACTATTAGTCTCCTTGAAGCAAAAATAACTAGCGCAAACTTAGTGCCAACTGTCAAACTTTCCGCATCAGAAAGATTTATTGCATCACTCCGCAAAGTTTTCAGCGAGTTTTCACATAATAATTATTCATAATTTTCATTGAACTTGACTGGTACGAACAGCTAATTCGAATCCCTTGTTTCTGTCTCATTCGTAGCGATCCAAATGATTCTATATATACAAATTCCAGAGGGAAATATATCTTCAGATTGAGATATATCTACATCTAGTCTGCAACAAAATATGTCCATTACCATAAAATATGTTTAAAAGTACTTAAATAGATCGATTAAATGTTAAAGCTCACTTTTAGGGTTCATATAAATTTAAGAGCAGCATTAAAATTCTTCTAAATCCTTTAAAGGAATAATAAAATATACTTTTTCAGGTTTTATTGAGGGAAAAGGCTTTAAATCTATCTCGAGCTGGTATTAAGTGGGTATTAAATTATATTTTAATAAACCATTTCCATAAAAAATGAGAGCTTGAGAGTGCTGGATTTGCTTTAAATATAGCTAAGTACGGAACATCTAAAAATCTTTATGGACTAATGTTTTTACATATACATATTAAATGACTTTTAATGTTACTTTTTCGTTTTACCAAAATGTCAGAAAAATTAAAATATTCATGTTTTTAGATGTTTGAACTTATGTTAAATAATACTTTTTCTTTTTTCTCGCAACACTCACATCATCATAAAAGTACAGTTTATTAATTTTCATACAGGATAATTCTACTTAAATTTATAAAATTACAGGACAGAATTCCGTGTTGAAAAGTGAGTTTAATTTGGCCTATATATTTTGTCTTATGAGCATTATTTATTTATTTACCAACATATTTGATTTAAATTTGATACAACTTATAAATAGTTCAGTCAAATTACTTTTTCAGGTGCCAAAAAATAGTTCAGTAATTGAAAATATGTAAAAATTAGGAAAAATTCCATAGAATTCAATGAACTACTTTACCCCACCCGAATTTTTGGGTTCATTTTCAAAATGGCGTTCAAAGTTCGCAAAGTTTTTTTTTTTCATTTATAAAAAAACTATATATTTTAGAAAAAAATTTTTCAAACAAAAGGAATTTTTAATACGGATCGAATAAGCCGGAATAACCGGTTTTGATCGATAAATAAATTAATTAGTTACTGCAAAAAAAAACTGCTAAGTCGCAATTTTTTCAAAAATAAGTATTTTTTATGAAACTTGGTGAAAGGATAACTCTTGGTGAGCAAAATAAAATGATTTTTTCAAAATTTAAAAATATTTTATAGTTTTTGCAAAAATTTAATTTTTCGAAAAACAAGCGTTTTTGTAAAATCCCCATAATTCGTAGGCCGCCACATCTTTAGGAACGGGGTTGGGCTTAAAATTTTCTTTAATAATTACACTATTATGTGCAAATACTGCGCGAGCTTCAAATAGATTTCAAATCTATCGCAAAAATCGATCGAAAAATCGTTTTTTATCGGGTCCATAAAACTTTGATTAACTTTTTGATTTTAATTCGTATCAAAATGTCGAACTGCCATTCGAAAGCTGACATTTTTTCACGAATTTAAAAAGAAAGTCTGTCCTACGACCAATAGGGGCCCAGAAAATTTTTTTTCTGAAAAGTCGCCACGACCTCATTTATTAATATTAAGGGCTGATTACAGATGTTTGAATACTTGTACTTCAATATAAAAAATAGTCCACAACGATTGGTCCCATTTTCTTTCATTAAACTTCATTTTTATGGACCCCGTATATTGCTTGCTTGGGTCTAGCAATTTGAAAAAATTACGATTTTTAGTAGTTTTTTTGCAATAACTAATTAATTTATTTATCGATCAAAACCGGTATATATAAACTTTACCTTTCAGAGCTCACCTTATAAAATAATCCAATGAGTTTGTCTTCTTCGTCAGTGGTAATAACCAACTAATCTAATTCTTTTCTCTTCCAACTACTGACGAACTTATCAACCAACATGAGGGTAATCTCCATCTTCATAAAAAAATAATACTTCGCAGAGAAAACATGTTGCCAAAAATAGACATTTTTATAATATTTTGGACAAGTTTGCGTAGTGTTCAAAATCTTGCACTTGAATTTTGGACAGTACTATCTAAAATGATTGCAATAATAGTTTTTCGAATAAAAAGTCAATAGTGTTTAGAGGAGCTCCGTATTGCGGCTGTACGCCACTGACTAGGAAGGTAGAACTAAAACGCTAACAGTGAAAAAACAACTCTTCATTTATAAATTGTATGAAAATTTATTCAAATTCTTTCATCCCGGGTTTCTAGAAATAAGTTTCGACATTTTAATCACGTATTTAACTTATCAAAAGCAACAACTTTTAGGTAACTCACATTTTTGTCGGTTTTGTGTACTTATTAAAATAATGCTGACAAGCTTTTTATTGGTTAAAGAAAAGTTAAGTAAGTAAGTAGTAAAGCTAAATATTATTTTTTTTATTATTTTCGTTTATTATTAACTCTACTAATGCTTCCGATTTGTGCTTTAGTAGTGCAAGGTTTTCGAATAATTGTTTGGCAAAATTTGTTGCTTTTGAGGAATTAAATGCAGTAAAATTTTAGCTCTATATTTTTCTGGAATTTACGTAACAAAAGATATATTTTTTTCAAAACTATAAAGCTTTGTAACACGAAAACTAAACCTGCTGAGACAAAAATTCATAGAACGAAGTTTATTATTTTTCATTAAGTTATCCATTCCTAAAATTTGAGTACTTAAAGTAAAATCACCTCGTATTATATGTTTCTCGAAATTTTGAGAAAAATATATAGATTTTGTCTCTTAAAAAGAAATGAAAGAGAAAGAAATGATAATGAAAGTTGACCAAAATTGCTTAGTAATCAGCAATTTTTAAATTAAAATTTAAACAGTACAGTGAATATTTTAACACATATAGAACTGTCTGAACTGAAACTATAAAATTTTTTTAATGGAACACGATATATGAAAAGTTTAATTCTTTGCAAAGTTTAACCTTTGTATCTGCACTTTTTTTACAAGATTAAAAATCAATTTAATCTCTATAGACTAAGAGTAAGACTATTCCTGACAAAAAAGAAAACAGTATACAGATTAATAGATGACTTTTGGCGCAAATTTAGATTTTCTTCCCAATTATATGTACACCGCATGTTTTATCTATAGCTCTACTTCAAATACATATTAAGAATAAGAATTGTCAAAGTCATGAATAATCAAATTTTATTTAAATCTGCAATGGCAATACCATAATTTTAAATAATTTTTTGTCATTTTACCAAGCAAAAACGTTTACAATACATTAAATTGTTCTCTTAGTGAATTTATTTTTTAATATTTTTTTAATACTCTTCAGAAGAATGAAATATAGTAGAATACACTTTTGTCTTTGTAAATAATCTAAAATTTATTTTCCAATATTGTACATTACACAGTTTTGCATAAGTTTAGTTACTTTTGTTTGACATATCACGGTTTTGCCTTGTATAATGTTAATTAATAGTTTTGTTACTCTTTCAAAACGTATAGCACAGTACAGTACTGCCATAATAACCATCTAGCCGTTCTTATCACTTTAGAGCCAAAATGCCATTATGTTATGGTCATTTATATGTAATCTGCATTGCTGTGTCTTCCACAGCACGTAAAATAGCCAAAATGGCTCGTAAATATCAGATAATTCATGCAATTGCTAATGAGATAAGGAAAATACATAGTGTAGTTAGTTACGACCTACGATGGAGCATTATATGGAAGTATTAGATTCATATTAGTAGTTCGGCATTTAAACACAATTACCTATAAGTTCGGGGATACGTTGTTCCTAACAGAACCGGACTCAGTTTATGTGAATACAGAAAATATGGGGCAATTCAATAATGTGAAAACATATTTCTGATAATGTTTAGAGTTCCGACAAAGTTCCAGTGTCACTTAAATATACTTAAGTATGTTTAAATTATAATTATGTACGTTTGTGGTTTGACTTTCTAGAGTGAAATTTCGACGACTATCACTTGTGCAAAAACGGGAAATTGTTAAGGCATGAAACTAGTTTTACTGTGAAAAACGTTACTTACTTTATTTTCTATGGGAAAAAATACTGATGCAAAGGCAAAACCAATTATTGTCCAATTGTTTTTCACACTTCCCTTTCATATTCATGACACAAGGCAAATAAATGTAAGCCTCTTATCTTTTCGCAATTTGCTTTATGCTAATGGTACATTAAAAAATATGCAGACTAACGTCCTAGTAGTTCCCATTAAAGATTCATATCAATGCGTATCGGGCTCTTACCTTTTAAAGACGTTTTTTCCTAATACCCGGTTCTACCATAGCACGACAATTTATTTTTCACTTAAATCAATTGTTATCAGCAAATAAATAATTTAAAATTTTGTTTTAAAAAAATTACTATGGATTTTTTGGTACCGCAGTGATAATTACAAGACCGAATTTATCAGTGTTGAGACTGCCACAGTGGTAAAACCCGAGAATTTTATATGCATACATTGCATGTAAGGGCCCCAATGGCCTCCATAAATTTGGACTGTTATGTTTATGTCAGTCCGTACACAACATTTTCATATTGATTGCAGGCCGCCAGAAGCAATAAATCCCCTCGTAAACACCGAGAGCCCGATAGAAAAAGTCTCCACAGCTCCCGGCTTGATGCCCACATCTACATTTAGCAGCGCAGTTACATCGTCTAGCAAGGGAAAAGTCGGTAAGTTACGAGTCTCTGAATAGATTTCCTTCGCGAAACTTTACTTCTCCAGAAAAGTCTCTTATCTATCTTTTATTGTGGTGTCCGTTTCTGTTTCTAACACTTAAATCTGCCCCTCATATAAGTGACTTACTCCGTGATTTACCGTAAAATTTTTTGTTTGAGGTTATTACAGGATAACATGAATAAGGTGTACAGGCTGGTCCATTTTCGATGGGAATTCAAGGTATTTCAGAAACTACTAAAGATATGATAAATCTGACACCACGTTCTCGAGCTCGATTTTCATGGCAAACTCGACTGTCAGATCGGAAATTTGCTATCTTCATTTGTTTCTGAGTTACAGGGCGTTTCTCGTTATTGTGACACTTCTTAACATGTCTGTATCTCAGCTGTTAAATAAGTTTGAGTTAAAGTGAAAACTGCTCAAGACTAATTCTTTGGCGTAGAATTGAATGCCGGTATTAAATTTTTAGTATATCTTAAGATTTCGGAGTTATGACCCAAAGTTATATTTTTTTAAGTGGAAATCGTAGCTGACCATGGCCTAAAAAAATTGCGATTTTTTTCCGCTTTTCAGCAATATATCACATGATAGTTATTTTTTAAAACACGGGTGATACGGGGTGTTTTATATACATATATATAAAATACAGATAAAACTATAATTCTTACTTTTACAAAAGTCATATCTGTTGTAAAAATATAACATTTATTTTAAATGCACAACATATACTCGTGTGATAATATAATACTAATGAAATTTTAGGAGATAGGTGGATAGGAATAAACGGACCGATCAGATGGCCAGCTAGGTTACCTGGCTTGAGTCCGTTGGACTTTTTCCTTTGGNATTTTCGATGGGAATTCAGGGTATCTCAGAAACTACTAAAGATATGATAAATCTGACACCACGTTCTCGAGCTCGATTTTCATGGCAAACTCGACTGTCAGATCGGAAATTTGCTATCTTCATTTGTTTCTGAGTTACAGGGCGTTTCTCGTTATTGTGACACTTCTTAACATGTCTGTATCTCAGCTGTTAAATAAGTTTGAGTTAATGTGAAAACTGTTCAAGACTAATTATTTGGCGTAGAATTGAATGCCGGTATTAAATTTTTAGTATATCTTAAGATTTCGGAGTTATGACCCAAAGTTATATTTTTTTAAATGGAAATCGTAGCAGACCATGGCCTAAAAAAATTGAGATTTTTTTCCGCTTTTCAGCAATATATCACATGATATAGTTAATTTTAAAAACACGGGTGATACGGGGTGTTTTATATATAAATTTTATTTTTTTTCCTTTATAATATGACCGGCTATGAAAATACAGATAAAACTATAATTCTTACTTTTACAAAAGTCATATCTGTTGTAAAAATATAACATTTATTTGAAATGCACAACATATACTCGTGTGATAATATAATACTAATGAAATTTTAGGAGATAGGTGGATAGGAATAAACGGACCGATCAGATGGCCAGCTAGGTTACCTGGCTTGAGTCCGTTGGACTTTTTCCTTTGGAGTTTTCTAAAAAACATTATATTTAAAATTCCTTTTAATAATATTTCAAATACCTATACATTTAATGAATGCTACCCGAAGCGTTGCCAGAAAATGCGTAAAATGTGTTACAGTTGAGGGACGGCAATTTGAACATTTAGCTGTCATTTTTAAAAGTTTTTATTCATGTAGGTACTTACTATTGTTTAATTTTCGTTTAATATTGTAACTTCAGTTGATGTGGAATAAAAATAATATATGTAATATATATTTTAAATAAACGTCATATTTTTACAACAGATATGAGTTTTGTAAAATAAGAATTATAGTTTTGTATGTATTTTCATAGCCAGCCATATTAAAATGTAAATAAGGATCGAATTTATATATAAAACACCCCGTATCTTCTGTGTTTGGAAAAATAACTTTAGCATGTGATATATTGCTGAAAAGCAAAAAAAATCTCCATTTTTTTAGGTCATAACCAGCTACGATTTCCAAAAAATTGTAACTTTGGGTCATAACTCCGGAATCTTAAGATCTATTAAAAATCTAATACCGGCATTCAATTCTACGCCAAAGAACTAGTCTTGAGCAGTTTTCACTTTAACTCTAACTTATTTAATAGCTGAGATACAGACATGTCCAAAAGTGTCACAATAACGAGAAACGCCCAGTAAATTTTTGATTTTACAGTCGAGTTTGCCATGAAAATCGAGCTCGAGAACGTGGTGTCAGATTTATTATATCTTTAGTAGTTTCTGAGATACCCTGAAATACCACCGAAAATGGACCAACCTGTACAAATGACTTTATGTGTCACAGCATGGGAGCATATTTGTACTAATCTTCTGAAACATTATGGTATAAAAGATGACGGGCAAACTATTATTCTTCCTTTATTTGCAGACTATTAGGAGTTTCTTTGTTGATATTATAATTCCCTCTATTTAATTTCATGCAGGCAAAACTTCGTTCAAGGAGCACTAATTGGCCTGTTTAAATTTATATTTCAATTTAAATATTTGCTTTAAGAACCTTAGACAATAGGTTGCAGCAGATGCTAAAACTTCACAAAAATCGTTTAGTGAACGAAAATAATACAATATTAATATTTATTAATTCCATTCACATTTTTTTTTAATTTATTTGAAATTACTTAATACTTTTATACAAAAATTGTCTTACAATTATTGGAACAAAGAACAACTTGACTAGTTTTTATTATTTTTTTAATATTTCACTTCTTAAATGGAAAACACCCTTGTCGAGATAGCGCCCATTATGCAAGCAAATGAGTTCCACAAACTGCGTTTTCTCTTCAGAAAACGTGAAAGACCCCGTAAACGACAGTCCTCGCAAATGGCTCTTATCAAAACACCTCTACAGAGACTTGTTTGAATGTTATCACCTCACGAAACGTTCGACGGTTCGGACGTTTCGTTGGGTTCGCCCCGTGAAAAGGAAACATAAAGATAAAATTGTATCTGAATTTCGCAGATTGCGGAGTGCCGCAGATGTTCACCCAGCCCCAGACGAGGATAGTCGGCGGAAAAAACGCTCCGTTCGGACGCTGGCCCTGGCAGGTAAGATAAGGAATTGCAGGGCGTCGAGGCCCCTCTCTAAGCTGGCAATCAGTGTTTTGTTTGCCGGTCAACTGGTCTGGGACAGAGACGACCCAGGACAGAGCACTGTCCTGGGTTGTTTCAGCAGGACGATTGCAAGCCTGAATTGACAATTATTTACTAAAATATATTATAAACTTTAACAGTGAAAGGGATGTAAGCTACATGTGTCTTTAAACAGACTTGACTCATTGATCTCTTAGAAAAAATTCTCGAAATATTGAACAATCATTGACAATGGTATCCATAGTTTCCTTCTGTCCTGTTCCTGTAAGGAAACCGCATTGAGAAAGGTCTGCTCTCCGCAGTTACTAAGTTCCATGTCATAGTCGAAGGCTTCCTGATGACGCCCATGTTGTTGCGGAGCAACAACATGTTGTTGTTGTTTGATGGCAATGACATGTAGTACATGCAGTACATGCTTTTAGCCAAAAGTAGATGCCAAGAAATTGAATGTATAGTTACTTTTAGTATTAATAAACGTTTAGTATGCTTCAACTTGTTAACTACGATGTTAAAATAACAACAATGTGTTGCGAGTTGCTAAAGGCTTAATCAGGGTGTGTCATTTCTATAGTATATGATCAAGTTTGTTCATACCAAAACTTAAAGAGGTAATCACTGTTAAGTAGATTACAAAAGCAACAGGTATTCCTTTGTTGAGCAACCTACTTCAAAAATTGGAATAAAAAATGTTTACTTTATTTTATTGATACCGATTGACTGGAACTTTAGAGATTGGTCAGCCTTCAGCAGACATATTCACCAGTGAATATGGTGAATATAGTGTGCGACTATGAATACCACTGTTAAAGATTCCACAAATTCCTCATAGATTCTGCCAACTACAACATCTGCATCTTGCTTCTAAGAGAGATAATTTTTTTTTAATGAATGTTGTTGATTAGTTGAACAATTTTCGATCTAGTTGCCATGCATGATGTTACTTTATACTTTGACAATTCGAGAGACATGTCGCTCCCTTCTTCAAAAGAACTCTAACTTCAGGAAGTTGGAGGTTAAGTCCTCTGACCGGTATTCGATTTACTGTGTGTACTGTGTGCTCATACCGTTCTGGCACACAGTTTGAAGTTAGTGGTCTGTGACGTTCTGCTCATTGAACTTCTTCTGCAGGGTACTGACCAAAAGCCTGCGAATTAAACTTATGTCAGTGTACATCTAACACGTCTGTCTATGGTATTAAAGTACTGTAAACTGTTAAAGTAGGATAGGAAATATAGGACATATTTGTTCCCCTATATTCTTTCCTAGTGGTCTATTTGTTGTAACATACCTTACTTATTAATCGGTAGTGGTAGACTCGGTGGTAGATATTGACGTAATCAACGATAGACAATCGAAGCAAGATGATAAGCCGTTTTGGAAAATTGTCTAATAATAATTAATTGTACGAAAAGCTTATGTAAAGATAGGTCGGATAACATTCATTTTTAAGATACAGGGTGTCTAACTTTTTTAAAAATCGTTTTTTCTTAAAAATCTTAATAATCCTTTAGTCGATTTTGTTGAGAGTCAGGGTTATTTATGTTAGAAATGTTAAATCGTAACCAATACTTCTGAAAAAAAATGTGCACCACTGACTTTTTTAAGTTTTATAATTTTTTTCACATGAAGCAACTAAAAATACAATTTTTTTTCGTATCTTGCTTCCTTTTTGGAGAAAAAAAAATCACTTTATTGCATGTCCCTGTGACAATATAATAAAAAATTAGAACTCGCAGATTATCAAAAACTGGGGTGTACTGTAACATTTTTTCTTATCAATAGTCTATTCTAGTCTTAGAAATTGTTATAAATTAACCAAAAAAAATTTTGTGTTTTATTAATTATTAAAAAATGTTTTTTTTTGTTGTCCATGATCATGCAATAAAGTGATTTTTATTTTTTTCCATAAAGGAAGCAACATAAGAAAAAAATTCATGAGACAAAAAAGTTGTATTTTTAGATGCTCAATGCAAAAAACTGAAAGTTTTACAAAAGTCAGCGGCGCACATTTTTCTGTTTAAAATATTGATTAAGATGCCCTCCGGGACGCCACTGGACATAACAATTTTAATCTAGTTAGAACTTAATTAGCCCCTTTCTAACATAAATAACTCAAAATTTCAACAAAATCAGCTAAAGGATTATTTTTTTTTAAAAGTTTGACAGCCTTTATCTTAAGAACGAAGTATTATCGGACCTATGTATGTTTAAAAAACTTTTCGCCTCAAAATCACTCAAGGAACTTTCCCTTGAAGTTTGGCCACGTATTTAAATAACACCCTATAATTATGAAAAAAAAACAGCAACATTAATAGAAAACAAAGAATATTCCATATTTCAAAACATTTTCTTTAGAACAAGATTTGAAGAATGTTTCATTACGGTAATAGATAAATATTTAACAATAATCAAATTTTTTATTGGTCACTTTTTAGAATCTTAGTCAATTTCCTTTGTTGCTGCTCATTATTTAAGCAATCGCTAAGGGCGACGTAACCTATTTAAAAAATCAAGATCCTGAGAAAATATTTTAAAATTTGGTATTTTACACACCCTCTGGAATCACATTCTGAAAAGTAAAACATCAAATAAATATCAATCATTTCGAAACCTTGACAAATAAAGAAATAATTTTTCGACTCTTTAATCTTTATGGTTTGTAATGGAATTAAATTAATTTCCCTCTGTAGTAAAAAAGAAACTAACGTCTTCTTCTCTTATAAACCATTTTATTGTTTTTTAGTCCAGACGAATTTACATTGCCTTGTAGCTATATCAATCATTTTCCCTTAATTCCCCTATTTATTGTTCTCACTTTTATACAACCAGTGCGACTCCCATTTTTCAAAATAATCCTTAATTAATTTTTAAAAACCTTTTGCGCCTGAAAAATAATTATATTCACAGGTAAACTTAATGCTGCCTCAGTCAAGAAAGATATTAGAAATCCTAAAATAACGATTCTTTTTTTGTAATGATATTTGTTATATTTTTAAATTTGAGATAATGTGATCGCTGATTGGCTGAACGGAATCTCCAATCACTGCCGGTGAAACAGAATGTTGTGTTTTAATGTAATCGTGATATTATTGTTTTAATTTTATCGAAATTTAATTGCCAGCATGAAAGAAATAAAATTGCTGTTCCAAACAAAATTACTGGTCACGAGGCTTGTAATCATTTATGAAGTAACAAACCTACAGAATTACTTCAAAAAGTATCAGTAAATTTAGTAGGTATTACCCCTCAGAGAACTAGATGTACCTACAAATGAAATATCATCTTTCTAGATAATATGTCTCTTTTTTAATGTACTTGTCATCTTATGGAAGCAAATTTTTAGTTGTCTCTCTCTCCCTCAGATTGTCTTTGCCCTCATTAAGTATCCTTCAAGGAAGGCATAATAATAAGGAAGAGAAAAGGTTTCTTTTTCATGAAGTATTGTCAATTTACTTTTATTTTTTTGTAATATTGTTATATGAATTTTGTCTTTTATAATTCAATGTAATGTAATTTTGCAGAAATAAAGAATGGCGTCATTTCGTATTAATTTTTACTTTTAAATTCGAAATTACAATAATTTTTATCCCAATCTTAAACTGATTGATCGATATTACTTTAAAATATAAAAATTTTCCAATAATTTCTATAAATGTTTTATGATGCCATCTGTTTCGCTTACGGGAAATACTTAGGCCATTTTCTAATGGAACCCATGGAAGCTTACTTGAGTATGGTCTGGCAGTCCTGTTTAGAGATTTAGTAATTCGGAAAAATTGAGAAAAGCTCGGTTTTCTTTTGTTTTCCAGTTCCGAAGCAAAAAAATCTAAAATATTTTGCTGGAATAAACCTTAATGTTGACGTACAATGTTATTATTATTATCTCGTTAATTCTGTCATTTGAATCATCATGAGAATACGTTGACAGCTTAGGTTAGATTAGATTGATAAACTGATCAGACAATGGGTGTATTTACAGCTTGATAAATGGGGTAGCATATAGAGACCACCATCTTTTAAATTTTATGTCGATATAGTTGCAGTTTTCCTGTAAGATATAACCGTGAAAGTTATTTTAAGGCGCTCCTGCAACATAAATATTTTCACTTTATTTTTAGAAATACAAGTCGAATTTACAGCTCCCAAAAAAAGCGCCGCAGCTTTATGCTTCATCCTTTATCATCCGCCTATTACCGCCAATATAGCATCACATTTATCTAGCTTTAATGGGGTATATTTTTGCACTTTTCAGATTATTTTTATTTACGCCCCTTTTCCCCTCATAACAAGACTAAAATGCGAATATACGTCGTCAGCTGAGGTATATTTATGTTGGTTTTATGTATATTTCGCCACGTCTCCGAAATGACTCGCAGGAAGGACAAACGTTGAATTTGTTTGTGATACTTTATTCCTTTGTTTTCTTGAGATATATAAGATTTTCGTGTTTTGTTTGTTACAACGGATCTAGAAGGAGAGCGGATGCGTCTCCATATTATTTAAACAAGAAGCGTTCAAATATTTATCGAGTTTTATTCTCAGCAGATAACAAATTGCATTTAGAGGTGCATTATTTAAAACAGTTTACAACTACCGCCTTATTTTTTCGTAACTATAAATGCATAAGATTTTCATTTCAATTATATTGAAATCAATACCAAATAATACCAACAATGTTTAAATAATTTTGTAGTTACTTATAACATAAAACCAAAAAAAAAAATGTAAGTTCTATATTAGTTTTAAAAGTGTTTCTGTCAGTCACTGTCATTCAACTGCTTACCGTGTATTTACAAATTATTGTTTATAGATCAATATTTTATATGATATAATACTTACATAGTGTTGAATCGTTTCATCCGACTATTTGTTATTAGAAGTAAAACATCAATCATGCCATTTTTTAAATTAATTTGAAAATATTTGTTTTTCGAAAGTCGTCATTTTCGTTAAATTTTCAGTTGACAAAGTGAGTATTTTTTGGTCACCTAGAAAAGTACTAAATAAGCCAAAGTCTTTTTCGTTCTAAAACATAAAACAAATGTCAAAATAATTTGTAATTTTTTCATTTGTGATTTTATAAATTAAACAATATACATTTCAATACAAAAGAGTAACTATTATAAACAGGACGATTACAATTTATTTTGCACTGCATGTGAATTGAAAGTGCCGATATTGCAGCGAGTTAAATTTATGTCAGATCCAGTACTGTCGGTTATCGTAGCTTTTAGTTCTGGGTATGAGGCTGCTGCTGTAATTGTTTAAGATTACTGTGCAAGTTGTGTTATTGACAAGTTCCGGAGGCTCTGCTGAAGATGGTAACAATTCTTTTATATATCTTCTATATATGTCTCTGCTACCGTACCAGAACGCCACCCCCATGTCCTTTAATGTTGGTAATATCGTCCCCTGCATCGGATAACAGAGTGGCGGAAGAACATCTAAAGCAGTGCCCTGTATAAGTTTTCGAATAAAGTAAATTGAGATAAGCTGCTATTTCTTTAGGCACATTCCTTATTTTGTAGACGTCAACCACTTGGTTAAGGTGGCCATATCCCTGGCCGAGAAATGGTGAAATTTCTGGCATTTTTAGGTACTGAAATCTTGAAAAGTAAAACGTGTAGAACAAAAGTAAGCACAAAAATAAAATCCTTAATGTTTTGTTTATTCATTGTTACCATTTAAATTTACCCAAATAAAATAATAACTAAAAAAAAGCGTTTGTAAAACATGCGTTTTCTGTTATCCTAACCCCACATTTTAAGAATTATTTTCACGTACTTATAAATAAAAGTAAACAATTTTATATGTAGGACTAAGCAAGTAAATGTTATAAGAATATTTACAT